CTTTGTGTCCCACTGGGAAGTGGGGAGCACTCGCTTCTCCCTCGGTAGACACAGTCCCGAAGATAAAACGCACAGGTACAGCTTTACATTTGAGGCTTCAAAGCATATCAGAAACATTCTTGCTGGGATTATTCCAATCCACAATAAAGTCTCTTAACCCCTAAACCATTTAAGATGTATTACGCTTTATGAAATATTTGAGTAGAAATATCCTACAACTAAAAGTATCAAGGAGTGCAAGCACTGACTAAATCAGCATTCTTAAGTACTATGCTCAGAGACAACCTGAAAATATTCAGTGCCCTCTTGTGGCTTACGTTAAGAAAGAAGAAAAAATCATAAAAGGAACTACTGAACAGTCTTACAGCTGAGGTGGCACATCCATCACATCTTCCACAACACTGGTGCCACAAACATGACCCTGGAGAAAGGCCTGTTGAAAGACCCAGAGCATGTGAGGAGAGGCTGAGAGCTGGGACTGTTCAGCCAATGGAAGAGGAGGCTGAGGGGTCCCAGCTAAGTCTATCTGCTGGGATAGAGCCAGGCTCTTTGTAGTGGTGCCTACTGCCAGACTAAGAGGCAATGGGCACAACCTGGAACACAGGATGTTCCCTCAGAGCATCAGGAGCACTTCATAGAATCACAGAATTGTAGGGGTTGGAAGGGACCTCCAGAGATCATCGAGTCCAACCCCCCTGCCAAAGCAGGTTCCCTATAGCAGGTCACACAGGTAGGCATCCAGGCAGGTCTTGAACATATCCAGAGAAGGAGACTCCACCACCTCCCTGGGCAGCCTGTTCCAGTGCTCCGTCACCTCACTGTAAAGAAGTTCTTGTGCACATTTGTGCGGAACTTCCTATGCCGCAGTTTCCAGCCGTTTCCCCTTGTCCTGTCTCCACTCACCACTGAAAACAGTCCGGCCTCGCCATTCTGCCCCCCACACCTTAGATATTTATAGACCTGGATCAGGTCCCCTCTCAGTCTTCTTTTCTCAAGGCTGAACAGACCCAGTTCACTCAGCCTTTCCTCATAGGAGAGATGCTCCAGGCCCTTCACCATCTTCGTGGCCCTACGCTGGACTCTTTCCAAGAGATCCCTGTCTTTTTTGTACTGGGGAGCCCAGAACTGGACACAGTACTCCAGATGAGGCCTTAGCAGGGCAGAGTAGAGGGGGAGGATCACCTCCCTCGACCTGCTGGCCACGCTCTTTTTAATGCACCCCAGGATGCCATTGGCCCTTTTGGCCACAAGGGCACACTGCTGGCTCATGGCCAACCTGTCATCCACCAGGACACCCAGGTCGCTTTCCGCAGAGCTCCCCTCCAGCAGCTCATCCCCCAACCTGTACTGGTGCATGCAATTATTCCTCCCCAGATGCAAGACTCTACACTTGCTTTTGTTAAACCTCATCCGGTTTTTTTCTGCCCAGCTCTCCAGCCTATCCAGGTCTTGCTGAATGGCAGCACAGCCTTCAGGCGTGTCAGCCAATCCTCCCAATTTCGTATCATCAGCAAACTTGCTGAGAGTGGCCACCATCCCCTCATCAAGGTCATTGATGAAGATGTTGAACAAGACCGGACCCAGCACAGACCCCTGAGGAACACCGCTGCTTACAGGCCTCCAACCGGACTCTGAACCACCAACAATGACCCTCTGTGCTCTGCCAGTCAGCCGGTTTGCAACCCACCTCACTGTCCACTCATCTATCCCACACTTCCATTAGTGTATAGACACTTCAGGGAAGCAGCATTCCCCTGCCACACTCCATCCCTTCAAACTCCACCCTCATCAACAATCAAGTTCTCTTTTGAACCTGGAACTACCTGCACAACCTCAGCAGCCCTCATTTTGTCCTCTTTCCCCTTCTTACCTAGTTTAAAGACCTTCTGTGCTGTGCAGGTGACGGAGCGCTGGCACAGGCTGCCCACAGGCTGTGTGTGGGCTCTGCTCCTCAGAGACCTTCAGCAGCTGCCTGGATGTGGGCCTGGGCTCCTGCTCCGGTGTCCCTGATGGAGCAGGGGCTGAGCCCAGAGAACCCTGCCAGCCTCAGCCATTCTGAGGAAAAAGCCACTGACTTCTTTTTGCCTTTGATGCACACTTGCAGAAACAGAACACTCAGCACAAGGTTTTTTGCAAAACACATGCCTGTCACTGCTAATGGGCTGGTCTTTACAAAATGTGTTCTTTTTTAAGCAAAATCCTAACATACACAACCCAAAAGGATATCCTCCCAAGAAAAACACACACACACACACAAATACTTTTAGTTTGAAGAGGTGAAAGGAGATAGAAAACAACTCTGAATATGAAATCTGACTGGTAAGACATCTTAAGAAATAAAAACTCCCCCAGTCCTGGAAACAGACCTTAGCAGGCTAACCCTGAAAGTTATTGATGCTAAATTTCTTAGTTATTCTATTTACTCCTGAGGTCCACATCAGCTCCAAGATACTTAGGGTACAGCCAGAGGAGCTTCTGAAGTATATGGAATAGGAGACAATACTTACAAGTTAACAAATAAAATCCTATCTGTATAATTGCTGAATAAAAAGCAGAAAGGACAATGGGAAGAATACTTAGATAGGGAAATCTTATGAGAGTTGCTGCAAGGAAGGATATGTAGAGGGAAAAAAGAGACAGAGAGAAATCCAAAAATAAAGAAAGAGAATATAAAGTAATAGTGAAAACAGTTTTCTCAGACTAAGCATTCCCATAGGCTAAAGCAAGTGCATAAGAACAGCACTGTATTACTAAGCCCTGGAAAATGGCCTGCAGCTCCACAGAACTGAAAAATTCATCTTAAACATACAGAGAAGATTTCAAGATGTAAAGTGGGATTAGATGCTTTCTATTGAATGCATTTGGCAGTGATTATATTCTATTTTAGCTCTGATCTGACCATGAAGACGGAGATATATGATAATGAGGAAAAAATAAGTCTCACAGACAAAACAATGGAGGTTAAGGCTAGAAAATGAAAGGGAGAACGCTGGCCCTTCCCAAAGCAGACATAGAGTTTAAGCACCATAACAATCCAAACCAACTTTATGCATGAAGAAAAAAAAAAAAAGCAAAGTCAGGCTGGCAATTCACTGGAAAGTGGCAATTACAACACGCAGCAAAAGCCTTTTTATAGTAGTGGTCCTGAACTTTGTCTTCTACGTACATTCAATCGTGTATGTAACAGGACACAGAAGAGACCTGATGTCTAGATCTAGCTTCAACGCATTCTGTACTGAGAAGAAACTATGGAGTTTGTGTCATTAAATTGCTAGTTCCAACAATTCTAAAAGAACCTGGAAGGTGCTTCTCTGGGCACTCTGGGCACCTCTGGGTCCACCAGGCCCAACCGCTGCTCCAGCAGGGACACCCAGAGCACGGGGTCAGGAAAAAATCCCATGAACAACCTCTAGGCAATCTGTGCCAGTGCTCCATCACCCCTACAACACAGAGGTGCTGCCCGGTGCCCAGAGGGAGCCTCCACTGTTCCAGTTTGTGCCCAGTAAAACAAAAAATATTGAAAATATACCCTAAAAATATGTTACATATATTTATAATAGTTCTAACAAACTCATATGTTCAAGTCTCATTGGTCTGAAAAATAACGTCAAGAATCCAAAAATGCTTCGCAATGTGGATACCTTCTAGGCCTGACTACTTGTCAGAAGATGACCCAGACAGAGAGATGTCTCTCTTCCTGGGAATGAAATCCTGTGTAAGGACTGGAGCAGGACAGAGGAATTCTACAGAGCTCACTTATTGTATTATGAATATGCAGCCAAGGAGAAATAAACACACTAAGTGCATTCTCTCTAAATAATGGGATACACTTTGTTACAGTAGAAGAAAATTAAATGGAATCTCTAACAAAGGGCTTGTAACCATGTTTAAGTGGTACAATAATCTATTTAGAGCTCACAAGGAGAAAGAACACTAAACTAATAACAAAAAGTAAATTTATACATCTTGCCAACTTCTATCACTCAAAATAAGATCTTAAATTTCATAACCATACCATTCTGCGTATGACCTTAGAAATATAAAAAACAAAAAACAGTGGAAGGGCTTTTCAGCTCAGAAACACAGGGGCAGAAGGACAAACACCTGCATACCACCATGCTGGTCCAATAATGCAACCAGAAATTCTTTTCACAGGAAAAAAAAAAACAAAAAAAAAACAAAGAAAAAAAAGCAAACAAAACCCCACCTTAGTTCTTCTCACTAAATCTATCTAAATAACAAGGTTTGCTATTGGCAGCAAGCGTTAAGTAAATCTTTCTTCCTTTTAGGAGGTTCATCTCTATTAACTTTGCATGGGACAGCAATACACTAACAGGAGAGGGAAAAAAGATGTTATTAGGAATAGTTTTGTCCAACCTATCATTTCTTTTTTAGTTTTGCTTCATGAAAAGATCTTAAGATGTGATGTAAAGCAGCCTGTCAGGACATGAGAGGATTGTGAGCTAAGGCCACAAACCATTAGTTTCAGTAACATACACACTATTTCACAACTTAAAACTATGAAAGCATATAAATGACTGTGAACTGGAGTTTAAAAAGCATCTGAAAAAGAAATAGCAGCAAACGGACTGATCATCTTTATTATGCAACAAAGAAACAAATAGAAAATAAGATACTTTAATAGAAGAAAAAATAATAAAGGAAAAATTTAAAACATAATGTAGCATATTTCAGCTATGCACAATGCAACATGAACATATTATTTAACAGCAATGTCTTAGTAGAGGTTTTATGTTTCGAGTACAAGCATGGCTCATTACAAATACACAACGTTTTATGCATGTTTGAGTTTCAGTAAGAAAGATCATGACCAGAAGCAGTGTATTTAAACAGACTGTTTCATTTTCAAGAAATGCTTACCTAGTGAATGTGCTGGATGCACTCTCTTCATATTATAAGTTTAAAATATCAAAAGCAAGGCAGTGCCTACCAATACAGATATCACCATATGCAAATAAAGAGAATAAACACCGTGCAAGTTTCTTTTTTTTTTTTTAATATTGCATTGACACACATTTGTTGCTTTAACATATGCATTCAAGCCTCTTTGTTTAAATGCAAACAAAATGCTACTTCAGCAACCATGTATCAAGTGGCAACTAATTATTGCTATAGAAGAACTCGCTCCCCAGACTTTTAAAGTAGATGTAATTCCGTTTGCAATTTTCCAAGTACGCTCAAGTAACAGAAATAACCAGTTCCAGTGTTCCAGAGGTGTTCTGAATCTGTATTGGCTATAGGCAGTTATTGCCAGATTATATAAATAACTTACTGAATCTAAAGAAGTTAACCAAACTTTCACATAACTAATTAAATTAATTTGCAAATCTACACAGCAATAAAAAATACACACCGTGATCATTTTCTTGTAAAAAATTCAATCTTCAGTATCAGGCTACATTGAAATTCCTTTGCCCTGTTTTATAGTTGGCTTTGCAGAGGAACAAAGGGAAAGAAAAAAAAAAAAGAAAGAAAAATCAAAATAAACTTTTCTCACTGCTTTCAGTGAAGTGCTCCAAAGCGGTATGTGGTCAAAAGAGCACAAAAACAGACTGAGTGAGAACACTCAGACAGGATTTGGAGGTTGTACTTCTGCATAATGGTTATCGTTACATATAAATCACCAACTAGGCATAAGTAAAAACAAAAAAAAAGACCAGGTGTGTACTTCACCACACATACAGTACGCATTAAGAACAGTTTGACGTTGGGTCATAGTCACGTAGCATGAAGGTTCAGTCCTCAAAGGTATACATTCAGAAATGTCTCTGTCTAAATCCCCAAAAATGACATCTGTGCAGATGACTTATTTTTTTTTTATTTCCCCTTCCTCCTGTTAATATTAAAGATCTGGAATTTCTTTTAAAAATGCATTTCCTATTTAAATTCAAAATTGGTGGTTTTCTCTTTTTTTTTTTTTTTCCCCCACCAATTTTAATGGCAGTCTTGCTGAGAACATGGATATCAAGAATAACAGAATGTTGGTAATTAATTTACAGCAAGATTCTCCTCAAGTGTTTTTTCAAGCCTTTGAATGCAGCAGATGTCCACATATTAAACAGCTTTACCAAAATAAACAAGTTCATTTCTGAGCACCAATTTGTCCAAAGCCAATAAATGCTCTACTTACACAGTCTGCTGTGAGAGACAGCACAGACGGTGACTTAAATTCCTAAAACTACTGAAGTTTTTAAAAACCTCCAACGAAACAAAAAACTAGCTAGTCACACACTCACATACCAAGAAAGTACACCTCTTGCATGCCGTCATGAATTGCTCAGAAAGTATAGCAGGGGGGCTACCTTCACTGATAGTTAGGAGGATGGAGAAAACTCTCCATTCAGTTGTCTAATCAAGTGTCCTACTTCAGTTATGCTCAAAAAGGGGAAGAAAATAGATGCAATCATTCCCAGGCAATGGCACCATTCTTTCTTAGTGAAAGAAACCTCTGCATTGCTAATCTATACAAAACAAGTATTTTAATTTCTTACACTGGCACTGTTTTCATTTACATAGTAATGGCAAGGAACAAATCACAACATCAAATAAAACTTTGTCCTCAGGCAGGAGGACAACACAAATTGTTAACCTGCAGCTATCTTAGAGACAAAAGATGAACTTAAATTCAACAGTGCAACAGAGCATCTTTGCATCTCTAAAAACGCTGTTTTCAAAGTTGTTATTGGTCAATCAGAATATCCAGCATTAGTAAAAGAAACTGTGTGATTAACAGAGTAGTAGAAGTTAGAAACAATGAAGACAAAGTTGTTCCAGGAAGGTCTCTGATTCCAAGAGCCTGATCTCATTAAAAATATCAAGTTTGAGTTTCAGTAAAACCATATATAATGGTTATATATGGTTATATATGGATCCAAGTTGAAGGAGGGAAGATTTAGGTTGGCTGTTAGGGGGAAGTTCTTTACAAGGAGAGTGGTTAGGCCCTGGAACGGGCTGCCCAGGGAGGTTGTGGATGCCCCGTCCTTGGACGTGTTCAAGGCCAGGTTGGACGGGGTCCTGGGCAACCTGATCTGAATGTGTATGTTTGGTGGCCCTGCCAGGCAGGGGGGTTGGAACTACATGATCCTTGAGGTCCCTTCCAACCCGGGTGATTCTGTGATTCTGTGATATATAAAAAGTTCTTATCAACATGGAAAAAATTAAGCCATTTGTTATTAATGCAGGTTTCAGATTATCAACAGAAATCATGTAATTTTTCCTCTAGGACAACCAGTAAGACAGAAATCCATTCTTTAAAAGTTCACATGACAGGATTCTTGAACTGCATTTCGGTACTGGGCTTCTTCATCAAGCTGATAATTCTAAACAAAATGAAAATGTCATTAAAATAGTCAAATAATCAAGTACCACAATCTCTAGTTCAATAACTCATTTTCCCCACTTCAGGCTCTTTATTTCTCTAAGTATTTACTTTGTTTATGTTGCACAGTATCCTTTTTTTAACCAAGAACCAGGAGACAGAGAACTCAGATGAGCAAGATAAGCTCATTGAGCAGAAGGGCCCACCTACTCTTCCTGGCTGAGTTACATTGCAGAACAGTCAGCTCAGGAAAGCTGACTGCATCCCACAACTCTTCTACCTGGGCTCCCAACTAGCCATAACCTTTTCCATTAATAGACATAAAACCTTATCCCCAGACTACAGTAATCATAGATTGTATCACATGTATCACAAAAGATGTGTGGTTAATCCTGCTTCTTTTGAAGAGATGTATTCTAAGATGTTACTATATCACTGTAAGTGAATTACAGAGTAATACATCTCTTTGGTACAACTCTGGCAGGTTTCCCAAATCATTATTCCAATCAGTAGGTCTGCATCCTCAAGCACTCAAGATGCACTCAAGCTCAACATCTCAATTCCCTGTGTCAATCTCTTCCATGCCTTCATCACAGATGACTCACCACAAAGTACATACTGAATCTTTGCCTTCCTTAACCTGTGAGGCTGCCTATGTCTCAAATACTACGTTCCTTCTATACAAGGCTAACACAGCATATCCTGAACTTTGTTAACACTTTTGAAACTACAGAGTGAACTCTCCAAAATCTCTAAGCTCATATGTAGGACTCAATTGGTTGGCTTCAGTTACGATCCACCCAGTGACTTCATATGGGTATGCAGCTTTTAATACATTCAATGCCCATTTAATCAAAATAAGCCCAAAAGAATACCAACTCTACACCTCTTTTTTACGTTGCAGCCCCTTTCACAACACATTGGAAGAGAGGCTGTAGCAGCATACCAGCTCTTCAAGCTGAACTTTGAGTCCTGAGAACTATGGTTTAAACTCTGGTGCCACATTAGGTAAAAAAAAAATGTCAAATAAAACAGAGTATCACCCATTATGTTATTCCTTCTCCTGAGGAAAATGAACTGTTACAGGAAAAAAAAGAAAAGTTCAGCTTGAGAATGCTTAAGTTAACAGCTTGGAGTTGTGCTTATTTAACTGCTGGCAACATCTACTCCTGGCAACGTTTCATGTTGATAGCAGGAAGTTAAGAACACTACTTCCAGCTTCTGTCCAGAGCAGAAACAAAGTGCATAACCAATTTTCTTTTTTTAGCATTTGTATTTCTAATAAAAAAATTACCATTTACTCCCCTGCTTAACAAAGAAGGAAATGCTTACCACAAATTCTCCATAGTCAAACTGGTGTCTTAGATTTAGATGGCTAACAAGATTTCTGGTAACCTGGCTAGAATCTGCCCAAGGGAGAGATACACAAATAGGACAGATCTGAATTTGGGGGGAAGAAAAAAAAACACAACAAAGAAATTTTTAAAAAGCTACTGGTAATAATACAGAATGCATTAAAAACACGTTCTACAGGAATAACCAGTCTAAAGTAGAACTACATCTTACTACAGTTACACAGAAATATAGCTTTAGATATTCTTTATCTCAGGGGAGTAATATTCAAGATTACATTACAGCTTTCCAAGTTTGTTAGTGCTTGTCTAAGGAATGGAGGACTATCACACTTCTGTCTGCCACTCTATTAATTCCTGTTGTATAAAATTTGGAAAAGGAAGTAATTGCTACATCTGACACTGTTTACAAGGATTTTCATGCACCTGAGATGATCAAGCTAGCATAAAGAAAACTCATCCTCTACAGATGAAAAGAATAGAAAACCAAATAGATTTTTCTCGTCTTCTTCTATTGATTACCTTAAGGTTACTTTCTAACTGTAGGTTTCAAATAAAACAACAGTTATGTTACAAATGGAATCCTATAAAAACATAACTCAGTTACTAAACGAAGAAGAGGAGTGCATGTCAAGCATAAAAGCTGAGTTTGTTTCAAATTGAGCTAAATGAGGCAGCTGTGTGAGAAATGCCCTAAAACCCATCAGGTGCTGGACAAGAAGCATTTTCAAATGAAAGCCATTCCTCTATTTATATGCAGTGCTTTAAGTATTATGACTTTCTCAGATCACAGTGGTCTTTAAGATATAGAATAGATGCTGCACACTTAAAATCCCTCATATAATCAGAATGAAAATAGAAAGAATTATATACAAGTAAAAACTTATTAAAAAAAAATATTAACCACTTACTACAGGAACTATCTGATAAAGATGCCTGTTATTACAGTGATCCAGCAAGCGTTGTCTGGTAAAATTGGCTTCCTGACACAAGGGGCATTTGAAAGTTGGATGTCCACTGTAAGCAGAAATACACAGTGTTAAACAAAGGAGGAAAAAAAAAAAAAAAAAAAAGACAAAAGTTTTGGAAGTAGTATTACAGAAAGCCTAATTCATCTGTCAGCTTGTCATTACTTTCCCATATTTTGATAACAACAAAAAAGACCACTTTTATTGATTTAATAGCAGACCTAACAGAGCATCTATCATCACTACTTCTAAATAGCAATGTTAAAGCAAATTTATTATCTGTATGTCTAAATGCATCCTACTGAGACGTGGAATTCACAAAATATTTTTTATCCAATTGCAGCTGCATCTTGTTCTTATTTGCTGGTAATACTTCTGCGTTCAAATCTTTCAAGAAAGTAGTGAAAAATCCTGATGTATGGATGCAAACAAAGAAGAAACTAAATACTTTTTTAAAACATAATTTGTTGCAGTTTTGCTTGCTTTAGATAGCATAAGCTTACACTATAGTTAGTTTAATAATAACTATAGGAAAATAAGCAGCTTACCTTGTATTTCCTTGGCGCATTTGATTAGTAGCCATCTCTCCATTAGCTGATACTGCATCATTCCTGCTACTTTATTTGAAGGAGAAAAAAAAAGAGAGAGAAAAAAAAAAGAAAACTGGTGTTATTGTACTTCGCTATCAAAAGTTCTTAAAATTCATTAATACCAGAAAATACGAATTTCAAGACAAAACATATAACTAATATTCTGCTATGGTGTAGTCACTAATTAATCACATAAAAATATTCAGATGTTTCAGTTAAACACTGCTGCAACTAGTTCTAGTAGCAGTTTGAATGAACTTCTGCAATATACTGATGGGCTGAAAACTGCATAGAAGTTCAGCCTGCTAAAAACAGACTGTCAACACAGTGCATAAAGCACAATCTATATGTAATAAAAGGTCAATGAAAACAGTATATAAAAAAGGTCTTGAAAAATAAACCAAAAGCACACAAACAAAAATAATAACCCCACACCCAAGCCAAAACACATCAGTAAGAAGGTATGAGGAAGAAAGTTCTTCAGCTTTACTGTCTGAAAGCAAATTGGTAAATGGTATCTGAATTATGGTGTGTAATATGCTGAAGGTTCCCTATACTTTTCATAAACGATCAGCTTTAAGCAAAGTCAATCTGAAAACAGAAGCTTACACAATAATGTTTTGAAACAGGATAACCACTAAAACAGAGCTGGGAAAGGAGAGAGCGGAACAAAAGGAGAAGGGAACTTCCTTGGGGCAAGATATTATGAGATCTGCTACAAAGCAAGCTGCTCAAGTGCTGTCAAAGCAAAGCAAGTAAGCTGGAAATATTATACCATTTCTAGAAGAGACCCTTAGAAGACATTCCAAACCATCATGTAGAAAGGTTTTCTTCTGTGTGCTGAATAAAGAAAAATATCTGGAAAAACTGTCATTTTTTTAAGCCTAAGAACACAGACAATAATTATTATAGAAGAAAACATGTCCTGGAAAAACAAACAAACAAACCACCACCACCAAAAACAAACAAATAAAACAATTTCTGCTAGGAGAAAGCAATGCATTGTTACACAGAAATCACCATGATTACCTGTTCCCTGTTGAATCCTGGGTAATCTGTAATTTTGGAATAACAGAAGGAACACCGTATTCATCCTGATACTTCTTACACGTTTTATAATGCTGTCTCATCCACGAAAACCTAACCTGTAAATGAAATGCCAAATTACTGAAATTATACTAAATAATCCAAGGATAGAAGGAAAATAATTCTGCAAACAGAAAGTAACGTGTGCAGGGATTATTTAGGCGTCCCACGCAACAGAAAAACTAACTTTTGTCTCTCCTCTCAGGATGAATGCCTTCTTCCCAAAGATAAGATCTTCTCTGTCACCCTATGAGACTGGGGAGCATTCCCACCCCCCACACCCTTAACAGCCAGACAACTTTGAGAGTTCTTAGCTGTGAAAACTGACTGTAAACTCCATTTGATTGAAACAAAGTTGCAGGACCTTCAAACTCTCACACTGAAGATCAATCACTGAGGAGCTACCACAGAGACGGGCCATGAGGATGGGATAATGCACAACTGCTCCTTCATCCTTCTCTAGTCCACTCCTATTTTGTGCAGAGCAAAATTGTTTTATATTGTGTTCTGATAATATATAATTTTTCTATTTGAGGAAAAAAGGAAAAAAAAAAAAGAGGGGAATGAACACCAGCTTAAGGATGCCTATCTAACATACATGCAAGGTAAGACGGTGATGAGTTGCCTGCATTTTGTCAGAATTTGAATGTTCTGGACAAGGCCCATATCAGAACTTCAGGTTCAGTAGCACTGTCAGAAGTGCTACAGATACAGAAGCTAAATAAAACAACAGCATGAGTCTGGGCCTAGAGTTCATCCAGGAATCTGCTTGGTTCTCCCTTGTGATTTATCAACTTGTTAGTGTTTCTTTCTCCCAGCTTTTACATAACAATGTATCCTTAGGAACAAGGCAAGAAGCTCCTCTTCCCAAACCGTCAGACCAACGCTCTAAGTGATTCCAAGCTGACAGGAAGGCTACCTGGACTGGTAAATAAAATATGTGGCTAAAATCTGGGATCCATTCATATTAGAAGATAGATTACTCTAGAGCTCAGTGGAGTCAGAATTTCACTCAATGTTCTGAAAATAATATCTGCTTTACAAAGGCATAGTAAACGGTCTGATTTAATACAGGGCAGGGAGAAACTTCATGTGAACGTAGATATACATAGAGCAACCAACTCTTGTTTGTCATCCTAAAATTAAATTTTAATAAATTCATATAAATAAAATAATAAGAGTGGCTGTGATTGCTTTTACTTCCACAGTGAAAGTTTCTGAGGTTTTCCCTATATCTTCAGCTTTCATTTTCAGTAAGCTAACTCACTCGTAACAGTTTTATAGCTGTATGCAGTTTTCTCATTGTTGTGGGGAAAACTGGCACTCCACTCAGTCATGTAGAGAATTCAAGGTCCTCTTCTACATCAAGCACACCCAACTGATAACTGATGGCAGGCACTGTGCACCTGCTACATGCATAAGCCATACAAAGAAAAACACTATCGGCTATGTTAGCCCCAATACATGAATGGCACACAGCAGAAGCATCTGGTTAAAACTAAGAAAATTATTATTCCATTTCTGTAAAGTTTTACTCTACCTGCTTCTCACAGCATCTACAGCCCCCGGAAGCTTTCTTCATACTGTTTTCGACATCTAGAGCCCTTTTGGGATATGATCTTTCTTTTTTAGTCACACTCCCCCGGCAGAGAGGACAATGAGTTCCACTTTCCCGCATAGCTGTCAAGAAGCACTTCCTGCAAAATCTGAATTAAAAAGTTACCAAGCAGATTAGTAAAGTGAAGAAAATTCGATACTTTGTCCCTGAAAAGGGATGAGTGATTACCACCTCAAAAGGAGGTTTAATCCCCAACTAAACGGAAAATCTTTATAAGATAAACATCAGGAAAATGAAATAACAGCTTAAAAAGAAGTATATGGAAATTAGGGGAATTATTGGTAAAAACTGACTATTATCTGTCTACTATTCCTGAGCCGGACACTAGATTGATCATTAATCAGATATTAAATGGTGCAGTAGACACGTGGTGCTGGAAATCTTATCAGAGTAACTTCTGTTTATTGTCCTTCAGTGGAGCCAAAAATACTGCAAAGCTGCATTCCTGCCGTTTTCCCGAAGACTTCACTTCAGTAGCTTTCCCGGATCTGCTCTGGCCTCTTTTCCTCGAAGCAATGTATCAATCACCCAAGCTATTTTGCATTTCTACCAGCCAGCACTTGGCGATTACACGTTCCTAAAAGCACGCACAGCTTTCCACTACGAACGCAGGAACTGCAGGAGACAACTCCGCTACGATCGCTTTGAAAACGAGTAGGAAGCTACAAATAAAGCTAAAAATGCAATTTCAGTCATGTTTGGAAGTTGCTTCCAACTGCAGCACAGCCCGACGCTGGAGAGACGCGGGGGGCTCGTTCCGGGGCGTGCCTCTGCTCACGGACGGCCCCGCTCGCTACAAAAGGAACAGGCGAGGAAAGAGCCGGGCCGGCCGGCGGAGGCTGCGCTGCGTCCCATCCCCGGCCCCGCACCTGCTAAACCGACCGGGGGAGAAGGCAGAGAAATAAATAAAGGCAGGAAGGCGGAGAAGGTGAGGCGAGCGCTTCGGTAGGAAGGAGGGGGTCGGGAGGAGGGATACCCACACGTGCTGGCAGTTCATAGTCCTCACGGGCGTTTTGAACACATCCTGGCAGATGGGACAGTAAAAGTCGTCCTCGCTGAAGCGCGCGGCGGCGGCTTCCTCAGCCATGGCAACACGTCGGGGTCTGTCTGTGCGGAGCGGGGATGAGACGCCAGTCCTACCCGGCCAGCTCTGCTCCGCTCCCGCGGGGCCGGGCCGGAGGACTGCAGGAAGATGGCGGGGACACCTGGCGCCAGGTGGGCGCCGGGTGCGGCGACGGTAGGGGGAGGGGAGGGGACGGGACGAGAGGGGAAGGGGCCTGGGCCTGCGCGCCGCCCGCCCCGCCCCTCTGGCGCCGGCCCGGGGAGCGCCGCCGCCGCCGTCCGTTCCCTCCCGCCGTCCGGCCCTGCTGTTACCTGCCCCAGCCCGCCGACGGAGATCGGCGGATTCAACCGCCGCTGCGGACCGCCGCCGAACAGCGCCCAGGCCCCGCCGCCGCCGTCACCCGGGGGCCAGGGGGGGGCCCGGGGCGGGCCGGTGTTTCCATGGCGATCGCCTCCCGGCCCGGCGGGACTATTACGATTCCGCGGGGCGGCCTCGCCCCGCCCTGCCCGGCGCCACCGCCCCCTTTCTCTCTCCCTTGTCCCGTGGGCGTGCCCGCGCCGGAGGGACGCGGCGGGCCGAGTGTATCTTCCCTTTCCCTTCTTCCGGTGGCGGTACGGCGTTGGGTTTCGGGCCCCGAGATGCGGCTCCGCCCCGATTGGCGCCGGCCGACCAAGGGGAGCTTCGTCCCGCCGAGCCCGGCCGCGAGTGGGCGCCTCTGGTCGGAGGCCGCGACCTCTGTGGCGGCGTGTGGGAGAGCTCGGCTGTGAGCCTGGTCCTGTGGCAGCGCGCTGCGCCCGCACCTAATCCTGCTCTGCTGTTAAAGCTTCTCGGCTCCCAAAGTTTCTAGAGTTAAGAGAATCCGTATCTGGGAAAGGTCTTGACGTCCAGATGTCCGCTTGGGGCCCTGCGGGTGCTGCTGGCGATCCTGCCCTACTGTATGTCCCTGTCCCCCGTCATAGTGCCCATGTCGAGTATGCTGCAAATGCAGATGTGGAGAAACGCCACGAAATACTGGTCCCCACAGTGGCTAGGGGGAGTGCTACAGGTTAGCAAGTGGATGTAGTACAGGCTCTCGGAGATTACAAGTCCATGGCCAACCCAGCTGAGCCATTGGCACCTTTCATTCGAGTAGCAGTAGCAGGCAGACAGTCTGACTTTTGCTGACAGTATGAAGTCAGAGGAAAGTGTTTGCAAGCGCCTTCTGCATGAATGGTGACGACGTTTCTGCACTCTTCTTTATGATAAAGTAGTGGTTCAAACATGGGGGTATTCACAAAGCATTAAACACACTTAAGATACGTTATAACATTCAGAAGCTTTGATTATTAACTAGGTGAATGTTTTCTGCTACCCTTTCTAGCACTAATAAATTTAGGACTTCATGTTGGGAAACTTAAATTGGGTATACAGTACAGAAGGAACATAAACCTGCTGGAGGAGGAGGGCCGCACACACGATCCAGGGGGTGGAACACCTCTCCTGTGAGGACAGGTTGAGAGAGCTGGGGCTGTTCAACCTGGAGAAGGCTCCAGGTAGACCTCATAGCCTTCTAAAGGGGACTATAAAAAGGAAGGGAACAGACTTGTTAGCAAAGTCTGTTGTGATAAGGTTTCAAACTAAAACAGGACATTTAGACTGGTTATAAGGGAAAGGTGTTTTACAATAAGAATAGTGAAAAACTGGTACAAGTTGCCCAGACAGGTGGATGCCCCATCCCTGGAGACATTCAAAGTCAGGCTGGACAGAGCGCTGAGCAAGCTGTTCTAGCTGTTGGTGTACCTGTCCATTGCAGGGGAGTTGGACTTGGTGATCTTTAGGGTCCTTTCCAACTCAGATTATTCTATGGTGTACATTAGGCAGCTGCTCCAGCATAGCATACTGAGAAAGCTGACTCTGTGGCATCTCAGCCAAATGAAAGTATAAGCCTACACAAAACAAAACATGTGTGCATGTCGTTCTGCTGTAAGACATTACTGGTGAACACACTGCGTAGTACAGATGTGGCTGTGCCAACAACATCAGCTGCAGAGCAACGTTCAGAGGATGGCTTATGGGAAGCTTTGCACAGGCAACTCAGGAATATATCTGACGTCTCACTGTGGTCATTTGGATGTTACCTGGGATGAGAAAGGAAACAGCACTTTAGTACTGAGCGAAAAAGACGATCAGGATGAGTGATTTATTTTCTGTTACATTGTTCTGTGTATGGAGCACTTTCCATACATGCATACCCACATATTCACTTATGTCAGGTAAGTTTTTTTACTGTGTTGTTTCAAAGAATTAATTTCTTACAGTAAGAAGAAAAAAAAATGCATCAACAAAAATTTCCCTGTTTTATAGACTGATTGATTTATGCAGACTGACTAATGACAGCAGCATTTATGTGTATAGTTTTAGTGCTATTAATAATACTTTGTTTAAAATTTCCACTTACTGAATGAGACTGACAAAAAATTTTAAACTAATCCAGCAGCATTACTGTGCACTTTTCTTCCAGAATAAGGAATTGTAAGAAGACCACTACGTTAATGTAGTTATGCCAACAAATCTCTCTAGGTAGAGAAGAATTTGGACTTGCTTAGCCCATCTAGCACTGATTGCCTCAAATGTAACTCTTGGCAGATGAACAACAAAGAAAATGCTGGCAATACTTTTAAAGGAAACCAACTCATAGAGACTGTGTTTGTTTCAAAGTATATTAATTTGTGGAAATTATATTGGTTCATAATAAAACTAAGATTCAGCTCGGGCCTGGTCTTTCATCTCATATCAAAGATGTGTGCCATAGGCTGAAGATAAATGGTTCCTTCACTTTCAGATTTCTTTCCTCTTTGGGAATGCAACTGTCTATACCACAAGCAGATGTCTAGAGGAGATTGCTAGGTAGGAAACTCTCTGTAGCCTGAAATTATGTTTTCAGGGAAGAGAAAATACAAAACATTAAACCCTGTGGTTCACTTACTCCTTCAGCCACCAGGATTTCAAAACTAGGCTTCAGCCATTCCTCAGGGCTGCTGTATCTGTATCAGTATCTGCTAGGGATCAGCAGCAAGGCAATGCCCCCATTATTTGATCCCACACTTTGGAGAGGAGAGAGAGAAAAGGAAGTGAAGCTAAAGCTCAGGTCTCACTTTAGATGAGGGTAGAGGATGAACTATTCTGTGATCCTGTGAAGGATGCTGGCTCTGTTTTCTTATTCAGGATCTCAGTTATGACTAAGTAAAAATGCTGCTGTCCTTCCAAACAAAAGCTAAGACCCAGATAAAGCTAAAAACTGTCCCAAATACTTCCTTTTTAGATCATACCAATCATACCACAGCAAGATTTGAAGGCCTTTATATACTAGGAGTTGTGAAGTTCATCCACTCTTATAAGCAATTTAAGAGCAAAGTCATCTGGGCTGGGATATTTACTGCACGTGTTTCAGTTCGGGAGAAAGTCCAGTGCCAACAGCAGGACTCCTTGTGCATAGGACTCACAGGAGAGGACAGAGCTGGGAAGCTTAGTCACTGAGGTGAGGTATATTTTTGTACCTGGGACTCTTCTGGCACCTGAGGTAACTGCTGTCGTGTACTCATCTGTTGGAGGCTGCTATGAGTTAGCTGAGCTTTTCCTCAGCTGGCAAAGAACTGCTGCTTGAAGTAATTAACTGGTCTTGTCTGAAATGAAGTAGGAAGCCAGGCCTGTGGATCTGAGAAGGCATAAAAGGTGATGAACTGTGGTTGGAAGCAGTAACTCCTTCAAATCTACAAGCACAGCCAGAATATACCCAACCAAACCTTGAGTGGTAAAGTGTCTGCAGAACACTTTTTTATGTTTACATGCATCAGTTAGGACTATACACTCCCATATAGCCAACTTCAGGTTTGCCACATCAATGCCATGAAACTATACTAAGAGGAGAGTTACAGAGGCCTCAGTTTAGACACTACAGGACTGGGAGGGATATAGCACAGCTTTCAGCTTCAGCATTCTAGACTTATGTGTAGACACAGGCTCCCAAGTCTTCTCAGTCTTCCTATTGGACTGCAGTCAAGCATGTCATCGTGCCTCAGTTCCTCAGTCTCTAAAAGGGGAACAGTTTTTAATCACCAAATAAGGCCGTGGTGAAGGTAAATTAATTACTGCAAGTAAAGAGGCTTGCACTCTCTGATGGCAGGTGTTGAACAAAAGTAAAGATTTATTACTCAAAGATGATGATAGGTCCATTTGAACTTTTTCAGGAGACTGCAGTATTTATGGATTAGTAGCTTTGGCAGGGATAGAAGTTGGGCTGGTGACCTCAGAGAAGTAAAGTAGGGGAAGATGTGTGTGAAGGCATTCATGCTGGAGCTAACATTGTTGTAAATCTTGATCCTTTAATAAAGCTGTGACCTTGGAGTTGACAACTAGTATGCCATGGAGCAATATAGAGCGACGGAACCAGCATGGTAAATCTTAGGCAGTTTTTGCCATTGACATCGACAACATGTAAAAAGAAATCAGGCAGTTGAACATCATGAAACACATTTATTTGAAGCAAAGCATTTTAAATCAAATTTTAGATGAAATCAATGGTCTTGCCAGTTTTTTATTCCTCATAATGAAATGTGCTTGTGAAATGAAATCTCAAAGGTGACAACTTGTAGAACTGCTCATCAAATTTTGCAGTTTTCTGGGGGCAACTGTCACTGAAAAACATTTTAGATCATTTTTGCACAGCTGTTGTACAACTTTGTATAACTACTTTTTGTACAGTAGCTGCTTTGTACAACTATTATTTTGGTAGCTTTCCTCACTGCTGCTGATGCAAGAAGAGTGCACCTCCTACTCAGTGTACAGTGGGCAGCTACATAAAGTTCTGCTGGAGCCATCAGATACACAGAAGCAGAAGAGGAAAGAGAAAACTGTGTTGCTTTTGCCAGGTGTACTACCTACAAGGAATACTTGCAGCCATTGATAGAACTAAGAGGAACTCTTCACCAATGCTAACTTTATTCCTATGTACAAAAAGTTCTCAATTTTTTTTTTTTGTTGTTGTTTGTTTGTTTTTTGTTTTAGGTGTGCAGGAAACCAGAAGTGCAATCATTTGGATCAATCTATTTCTTCACTTTGCTTCTAGGACAGAAATTTGTTTAATTACTCAGATGTTCCCACAAATAAATAGAAAAAATACCAAGTGAATATTACT